CCCCCCCCCCCCCCCCCCCCCCCCCCCCACGCACACACACACACACACACACACACACATCCCTACCCCCACCAGCACACTCTTTGAGATCAGCTCCCAGGACAGGCTGTTTCTGCATTCACTGATTCATTAGGTTGGTCCCTTAAATACATCAAAGAGCTCGTTCTCTCACACAATAAACCAATAAAAGCAATTATAACCCCATATCTTCGAGGCAATGTTGATCTCTCGGGTGTTAACGTTAGATAATGAAAGAGCTTGATGACATAAGTTTTCAGAGAAAGCTCTCTTTCGCTCTCTTTCTAGTGTGCATACGCTTTCCGACTGACTGGGGTTCTTTCTGTGCACGCAGTGCAAAATACCGCATGCCACAGTTTCTCCCTCAAATAACATGCATGTAATCTGCCCATAAATCATAACCACAGCATTTGTGGTTAAAATTAGAAGCCATATAAAGTCTTTGAGAAGCCTAAGAAAATATATTGGTGCTTTGGCTCTCATGCATTTAACATTAAATGTAACCAGTTAAAGTTCTTTAAATATTCATTGCCCTCCCTTGCTTGCTCCTGCCTCCTGTTTGATGGAGTGGATGGAGAGGTTTAGGTGGAGGCCGTTCTGGCTCTGATCACGTCTGCCGCTGGCATGGCGGAGATGAGATGCGTTTGTCAAAAGGAGAGATTGAGATTCACTCAGTGCTGCCTGATATTGCTTTCATTCCCCTTTTTCTCAAAACAAGAGTCGGCAACCCAATCAGGGGAATCGGCATATGCAGATCACAGCGATACATTTTTCATGAGCATGTTTCGTCGTCGTAAAAGCAGATAAAAAGGAAGAAGGAGAAAGTGGTTATAAAACAAAAGATGGAATTAGCAGAGTGAAAAATGGTGCAGAAAATGAGGTTTCTAAATGGGTGTTTTGCTTCACAAGCCGTTTCAGTTCTCTGACAAGTATGTATATAGTACAACGTATTGTACTGCATACAGTACGTTAAATGGGAACAGTTGAACCTATCATGCAGTTTGGTATTATTTCTAGAATCTACATATTTCAGCCACAACTTAAAAGAAAGAGTTTTTTTCTGTCTTATTGGAAACACATTGAAGCAACGGTCAGCAGGTTCACTTGCATATATCACCGGATATAATCACACTGTCTGTCGCCTGTGGGAATCCTGGAATTTTAATGAATGATGCTTCAGCTTCCATACACGAGCTTTAGTCTCTCTGGATGGGCTGAACGCGTGTGGTGCAGACCTCGCTCGAACAACATTTGCAAATTCTTTTCATGGTTTATTTTAGCCTAACAGGTGTTGGATGGCTGGAGTTTGCCACACAGAATTAGAGGTATGTGGGGGATGCTTATTGAATCACTAGACAAAGAGAAGTCGATTGTATGTGGGTTGATCTTACAGCCCGAGTATAACTGACAGAGTAAACGCTACATATGAGAGAGTATAAAAAATGGATTCCATGTACACCTCTATCTATATTGTGTATATGTAGCCAGAGCTAATGAAAGTGTTTGTGGTAAATTAAGATGGGCTTGTGAACAAAATGTAATCAAAATCCTCCCAACTGCTAAGAATAAATTCTGTGAAAATGACTAAAATGTTTAAGTCATTAAGCACAATCAATATGCCTTTGAGCAAAGCATTTAACCTCCCTATGCTACAGTAGAGCAGTGTGAAAGATCACAGGT